CTACAGAGACAAAAAAAAACAACCTAGCATCAAAGAATGAATGAAATAGGCTCAACTCTGACGACTTATTGCAGGCATAAATAGTGCAAAAGTTTCTTCACTGTGAAATGTTGAAAAAGTTAGCTAATGGGCTGAGTTTAAGCTGCTCAAACAGTTTGGTTTTGGCAGAATGGATGAAACTGAGACTTAAATCTTGACTTCTCTCTCAACATTTATGGTACTATTTATCCATCGAGATTGTTTTGGTGTGAGTTGCTGAGTTTTGGAGAATCTACCTTGTGTTTAATAGAATGAAACCAGATGGCACACACCTTTTTGTGGGTAGTTTCATGTGAGAACTATTTTCTTTCTACACGTCACTACGCAGAAGGAAGTGCGCATCTACTCATGGATGGTGGTCGTGTCAGCAAAGGATGTATACATTGTATTACAGTGTCCTCGGCTGAGCTCCAATGTTTGCTAGCTCACCTAGCACCATTGAGATAGCTAACGTTCAGCTACGGTTGGCGGGTGTAGTTCAGTAGAAAGTAAATAGTTCTTCCATGAAGCTGCTCACATCAATGTCTGTGGATTATCTTGGGTGACCAGATTTGGTGTGGAGTTTTAACAGGAGACAGGGAGGGTCTAGCGTGAGATTCTGTCGAGTTGCATTATGGGAATTGTAGGATCCAGGGTTTTCAGAGCCTAAGCCTTATTGTTGACTAAAAGTCAGGATATCTCGGCCTCTGCTGCTTCGATTTGGGAAACTCTGTTTATATGTACTTCACAAGTGCCCAATCTTGGCGACATTAATGTACATTGCTGTTGTTGTTTTTTTGCTGAGATCACCATTTTGCTGCTTTTTGCCTCCAACTGCAAATCATACTGCAAAATGGGAGCTGTCCATGGTGCTGATTTGAGACACACTGTTTTTATTTCCCATCTGCTGTACTTTTAGATGCTGGGTGACGCCATTGTTGTTCTCTTGTTTTAAAGAGAATTATATTTTTTTTTTGCCAGAATGGATGTAAAACACATCTTAAATTGCATTCATAATGGTCTTACAAAGTCTGATATTCAACCTGGGACTAACTCAGCTACTCGTCCACGTTTAAAAGCACATTTTGTTGGTTCACTGCCAAATCCTCAACTGACGTAGACGTAAAGATGTAGTAGGTAACTTTTATTAAAAACTTTTGTCTTGTCATATTTGCTTAAGTTTTCACTATATCCTAACAGTAGTACAACATTTTTAAAAGTCAGGTTCCTCTAGCTCCTCCTAGTGCTCCTAATGGCATTTGCAAGAATCTACCGTGGCTGGATGAAGTTAATTTCATAAAAGTTACCTACTGCAACTTTAAATCCTGTTCTAAAGATATTCACTTGAATCAAAATCATCCAAAAAAAACATCAAATTTGTCACACTGTAATCTCTTCATATTCTACAGGTCAGTGGCTAGGAGTCTGGGAGTAAAGATTTAGATTTAGTTTTTATATGACTTTATTATTCCAAGCAGACCATTTGTATGTGTTGTAAAACATGTATGGAGGGGTTCTTTAAGCTTCCCCAGCATGTTTATTGCATTTTTGTTACATAGTGAAGTCCTTCTGAAAAGTAAGAATTATGAAGAATCCCATCCATCCAAGACAAGAAGTCAGGGTTGGTCTCAAAACAATATAATACAGCACCGCAGCTGACCAGAGGAGTGAAACCCCACCACCGCCATTTCTGTAAATCGACAATAATTATTGGCTAATTTCTGCTGGCCCCAGTTTGTTTATTTTTTCCAGGGATGGCACACTGAGTGGCAGCTTCCTGATTAGACCGGAGGAAATAATGGCAGCTCAGTGTCTCTTATCAGCCCGAGAGATGAGTACTTCTGTCTGACAGGAGTAGCTTGGGGCAGGGCGGAGGTGTAGGTGGAGGTAGAGGGGGCACGCCGAAGGGGAAAATAAGCTGCGTGATGAGTTGTGACATTTGGGCAAAGGAGGTGTTGAGGGAACGAGAATGGATTGATTCGAACTGGTAAACGTCAATATTAGATATACATACACATATATATATACATATATATAGACATATAATTGCATAATGAGGGATCTTTCTAGTTTGTCATCTGCTATTTGAAGCCAAATATCAAGCGAGGAAGCGTCTTTTCATCACATTTGGTTTCAAATTTCTTTGATAGCAGTTGCTTTTATGTTTCTAAACTTTCCAAACATTTAACTTCTGTCTGGTTTGGTTAAAAAGACTGTTTCATGTCACTTAATTGAATCTACATGAAAGTTGTTTTTTTTTTTAACCTAAGACACATCAGCTCAGCGTTATCTTCTTTAGCAAAGAGTCTCTGTATGAACAAAATATCAAATGTTCCCCTTCCTGTTACAGATCCACTTGATCTTACCAAAAGTATGGGGAGATATTTGATCTTTTACAGTGTGTGCTGATTATGTGAGTGATTGGCAGAGTATTAGATTTTCAAAAAATACACACAATTAAAGATAAAACCAAGTACAAAACAAAAAATCTTGGGATGTGGAGTTTGAAAGAAGTGAGTTTGTCAGATCTCTGTGACCCGCTTCTCATCTCTGCTGCAGGTTCCGGGCTACTACTACTAGCATAACACATTTGCATTGTGGGTAATGTAGGCACCAGGTCTGAACAAGGAAGAGGTGAGGTGCAAAAACTATGACATCTGCATTTTTGCTGAACTGATTTTGATCCCCTTTTTAAAACTCTCTAGTGTTAAAGCTGCATTAGGTAATTTTTATTAAATAACTGTTTGTCATATTTGCTATATCCTGACAGTAGTACATGACACAGATAGATAGTCCCAGGAGACTGAACAGTCGACTATCTTCAAGTCAACAAGCCAAAGCGTCTGTATTTGGCGACCTGGGAATGAGACTCAACAATCAACTATCTTTCTCAGCTCTGATTGGTTATTGTTGTTCAGGCCCGGCAAATTCTTGTAAATGCCCTTGGGAGCATTAGGGGGGAGCCAGAGGAACCTGATATTTTCACAGATTATGTCTCATGTACTTCTGTCAGGATGTGTGGAGTGGTCTTATAAATAAGCCACTTCATGAAATTAGTTACTAACGGTGTAGTCAACACATTTCCTAGTGTTTTAAGGAGATTTATTTCTTTCTTTGTGTGGAGGCTAATATATCTCACTAAACTTCTGTTAAACTGCAATGAAGTTCATGATATCAGTAGTTGATGGCAGATAGACGGACCAGCCATGCAGGTAATTATTTTTAATTAGCTCCACATACAACCACTTGTCTTTCTGCCAGCACGTACTGCCGTGAAACTAGAAACCAATGTGTCCACAGTGCCTCAATTTCCCTTCATAGCTCATATAGCTCAGAAAACAGAAATCCTATATGGACACACTTTTATATATGTTATTTCCACCTTCAAAAATTTCATCAGCTCAACTGTGACAGGTGCTTCATGTTTTTATCTCTCATTTCCTGAACTATGTGAAATTAAACAAAGGCGAAATGCACAAAAAAGTTTTCATTTTCAAACGTTCAGCATGTTATATGGGCTGAATAAAAAGCTGAAGGTTAGTCAAATGTATCAGTCTCAAAAGGCTGCTCAGGCTTTTTCTGGGTGCTGTCTGCTGCATGTTAATGTTTTCAACGGGAACTCTCTTTCACCTGCCAGTTAGTGTTTGTGTTCCCTGCCAAGTCAGTTAGCAGTGAAGCAAATTTATTTTAGTGCATTTGTCTGTCCGCTGCTGTGTGTTCAGGGAAACAATAATGGATTTGATTTTGTTACCACTCTTCAGAACTAAGGTAGAAGTGCTTTACATTAAAAAAACATCTTTTAAAAAAAGTAAAATAATGGCAGTATGAAATAGCGGTGGGAAACAAAAGACAGAAGTATAAGAAAATAAGAAAACTATAAAGCTGGATAAAAAGGTATTTGCGTAACAAGACCATCTACAGCCCTGCTTGCTGCTCAGTGAGGTTGAGCTAAATGCTAGCTCAGCATGCTAACCAGCTCACAATGACAATGCTGAAATGCTGCTGTTCCAATGTTTGGCTCTCCTGAAAGAGACATAAGCTCCCCAGAAAGCCTCTTTTGAGAAATTTGGGGGGACCTCTAAAACCGTGGTTCCCAACCTTGGAAATCTTACACACTTAAATATACACAGTAGGCCTCAGGATTTTGTTCATTTCTGTGAAGAAAACGAAATGAAAGAAATGAAATGTTTTTAGACTTATTGCCCGAGCAGCAACCACTGCTAAGCCCTATTGAAATTCAAGGAGTTATTATTTTACTGCCAAATGAATTACATTTTTGGCAGCCACGGCACAAAATTCAGTTTTGGCAAAAACATATGTATGATATGCATCTCTTATGGGTGTGGAAAAATGGCTCGAAAAGCACCCCCTAAGCACAGCAGCATGAACCAGTGCAGTTATTGTGTTCATTATTTGAATCATATCAGTTGTTCTCTACTTCTTTTAGTTATTGTTATACGTTCAATATAATATGAAAAATCATGAAAATATGTCACTGAGTCAGGGGTCAACATTTGACTCAGTGATTTAAAAAAAGGGATTCCTTAAGTAAAAAGGTTGGGTTGGATTTTGTTGTATTTAGAGTAGCTGTTAGAAAAGTTATCTTGATGTGGGCATGTTAATATTTGTTAATAAGTATCTGGTCTGTTTAACAAAGTAATGCAAACTTTTGTCTGTCCAGAAGAAAAGGAAGCTAAAGTTTTGCAGTTTATATGGTTCTATATTTTAGAAAATACGTAATCTGTCCTGCAGTGACTTCAATCATAATGTGGGACATTGTCTCACTATGTTCTCTGCTGAGAAACTCACGCCAACACTGTTTGCTGCTGCAGCTCCCAATCACCCACACCACAGCCTCCTCTTAATTAATTTATTCTCCTAGTAGACACCGCAGCTCTGGTTCCTTCAAAAACAGATCCTGTTCCCACCAAATCGAACTGTATAAACATTTGCTTTGTCTTTACTGTGTGTGTTTCTTTCAGGTCGAGTAGGAGCTCGGCTACCTCGAAACCAACAGAGGCTGCTCACCATAGAGGGGGACGAAGTGGAAAGCATGAGTGAGTCAATTTTTCCATTTCAAGTCTAAACAAGATGTCAATATGTGATGTCGATATGGAACTTTCCATACGCATTTACAAAAGCTTTTCTCAGTCTTGTTCATTTCTTTTCTTTTTACTAACTTTTTGTGTACTTTAGAATTATGCTGTTCCCCCGGGTATGTCCAGGTTGGGTATGAGATGCATGCATATAGCTAAAGGAAATACAGAATCCTGAGTTTAGATATCCCTGATTCACCATTGTATTCCTCTCTGACTGTCCTTGAAAATGTGCTATCCAATTCCTTTTTTGCAAGCTCGGGAGGCAGGATCAGAGCTTAATCCCAGGGTCAGGGTGTATCTACTGTGAGATTTCAGTCCATTTTGATGGCAGATTCTAAGCTTGTCCACTTGCTCTCGACAAAAAACCTCCCTAAAGCCCCCTGACAGCCACCTGGATTATGGACATAGGTCTATTTCAGCTCTGAAGCCATCTGACCCATGATAAGCCTCAATAGGATTTTAAGGAAAAGATGAATATAGTAAGGGTCTAAGTAAAGTTAATATGCAAGGCAAAGCAAATTAAGTTAACATGAAGCTTTACTTGTACCTGACACGTTCCATTGCCTGTTTTTGGTTATAAAAGCTGATTCACAGGGACATGTGGTTTGTTAAGTTGGCTATTTATTCGCAAAAATGATACGATCAAGCATCAGGCTGAGACGACATTCCATTTTGCGAATCTGGCTGTTTGTCAGGGCAGACTGAAAGGAGTCAGGAGTGCTTGAAGACTTGAACCAGATAGCCAATTTTGCATTGTGATTGGGCCTGCTGATGCTTTGCCCCAGCGCTAACCGTTGTGGCCACTTTAAACACTTTTTTATTTGTGTTGAGACAGCAGTAATCTGGTCCCCGTTCTGTGTAAGCCAAAGTGAAACCAGTCGGGAGAACATGTGGATTACGCCTGACAGTGTATGGAGAGTTGGTCACAGGCTGGAAGTGGTGAAGGTTGTTCAAGGGCTTTTTGCTAAAATTGTAAACCATAAGTCATAGAAATCAAATATCAGATGTCAGGTAACGCAGTTAGTGCTGTCCTTACAACTGAGCATGCCAAGACCCATAGACATAGACGTGCCCAATGGATTCACTTCTCCCACAATCTAATGTAGAGAATTTCTGTTTCTGCTTCAAGTATTTTGCCTGCTGAACTGCAGCACTGGCTGTTTGAGTGGAGTAACAATAACAATATGTTCCCTCTCCCCCAACAGACCTATAATCACTCTCCCCCTCTTGTTGCTCGGGGCATTATCTGCTATTGTGTTTTTCATGTTTGAGTTCCGTCCCCCTTTTGCATGCTTGGTATTTACTTTGCCTACAGTAGGCTGCGACTGAACGCCAAACTCTGTCCAGGCACTGTACAGTTTGGTAAGGGAGAAAGTGATTTACAATTCATATTGGAATGCATGAAGCTAAACTTGGCTTAACAAAGAGGGTAGGGATAGTGTTCTATTGTATTTTATCCAAACTAAATCAACTTCTGAATCCGCTTATCGAATCGAAAATCTCTCTTATCCCTTATCGAATCTTTTTAGGTAATTTGTTTGGTGAGAAATGAAGACACCTTAGTTAAAAGCTATGTACTGTTTTTATTTCACTCAATACACCTAAACCACAGAGATTCTACACAGCTGAAAGGATTTACGGCTTTCATCAGATATTCTGTAACATTCATAAACCCTGTCTTGGCTCATTTTTCCTTTTGCTGCAAGGGAAACTGCATTTTTTTTCCCTCAGTGGCAGCGTGTACTACAGCTGCAGAAGTCATTGATGCTAAAGTAGAACCAGCACAGTGGAAATATTAGTCTACTTTCAGCAAATATTAACTAAATAAATCGCAGACTTTATGTTACCTGAAGGCAAAATGGTTATTGCACTGCTACAGGTCTCAAAATCTGACTGGTTACAGAATATTGAATAATACCAACCATATTGGTTGACTTTTTTATAGTATTCGCATTTCATAACATTTAAGTTAAGTTGGTTCACCATGTTCAGTGGCTGAGTTAGCATGTGTCAAGTCACCAGTTGTGACTGGCAAAAGAGAATATCTAAAAGAGATTGTGAATGAAAGATTCGATAAGGGATTCAATGGCCATGGAACTTAACAAATTCTGGTATTTTATCAACTTGGAATGAGATCCAAAATGAAACCAGTTATTAGAACCAATCCCTATAGTTGGCATACAATTGAACCTTCCTAAGTCCCTTCCCTTTTTGCACTGTGCTCCAATAACAGTTGAACAAAACTCTAAGCGACATATATGTAGTCACTTATTAAGTTATGTTAGCAAAATGCTACCTAATGAGCTAGCTAGTTAGCTCAAGTTTTTCTCTGCAGCAAAACACTAGCTAATTTAAATTAATCTTTACCTAGCTAGTTACATCTGAAAGCTTATGTTAGGGTAATGCTAGTTAGCTAACATTTTGCTAATAACATTAATAAATATATACACGTCACATTATCTTTTAAACAGCTTCCCAAACATATTTATGAGCCTTGCACATAGCACATTGCACATCTTAGCACAGGAAAGAAGAAAGTTGACCAAGGTTCCGACCGAGGGTTGCTCAACTGTCATTGGAGGATAGAACGAAAAGGGGCGGGACTTAAGAATGGTCAGTTGTGTCAAGTAACTGTAGCTTTCACAACACTCCACTGCAGTGCCTGAACTGTGGTTAATTGTTTTTTAATTAATTTTAGCACATATTAAACATGAGCTACTAATTTGTATTTATTCTCACATGGATGGTAATTTACACTAGCTGCTGGTTTTCTGTCTGAAGTGGCCATATTTAATCAATCAAATGCTAAAAGTTTATATAATTTCTCTGGTCTTCCTTCAGGCTCAGAATTATTTTGGGAAAAGTTGACACCCTTGTTTGCTCCTCCCATCTTTCCCCACAACCCGTCTAAACCTGCATTTTATAGGATTGTTTTCTGTCCTAAGCACCGAAAGGAGTAACCTATCGAGCTTTTGCTGGAGGATGTTATAAATGAAAATTTACATTAAGTTCCATCGGCTTTGTTAACAGGGCCTGGTGATATGTGTTCCCAAAACACAGAAGAAAGCCAGAGAAAGAAATTAAAGAAAAAATATGTTTCTAAAGACCTCTTTGTATTTACAGTTTGTCCTGTAATTTGCTAAATATAACATAGAGTACTGCAATAAATAGCTGAAATTACTGTTTTGCTTTCCACACTAATTTCATGCTTTACTTTGGTCAGGGAAGTATTAAATGTTGACAGTATTCATTGCTTAAATGTAATTGCACCAAAAAAAATTCCTAGCAGTGTACACAGATTGGTCCTGATTGTGTGTAACATTTTTGTTGTGTGTTAAGGATACACTTATTACCTATATTTTTTACTGCGACTATATTCTTATGTCACCATATAAGTATTGGTTAAGGAACACACATCACTTGTTCAGTTACAAAGAGAGATAAAGGAATCTCTAAATTTTACATTTACAAGATCCTGCAACGAAGGCATTGTAAGTTACTCTTTCTGGGCACCGCAGGTTCATGCAGCACAGATGTTAAGGAAAATCGGAACTTGGACAACCTCTTCTCCAAAGAGGGGGTTGCAGCTGAGGCTGCTCAACTCCCCAATGGGAGTGCTGGGGGTGGGCGGAAACGTCCCTTAGAGGAGGGCAATAATGGGCATACACATTCCAAGTACAGGCCCAAGAAGCGTAAGAAAGTCCCCGGACCCATTTTGCCTAAGAATGCCCTAATGCAGCTGAATGAGATCAAACCAGGGCTGCAGTACAAACTGCTCTCTCAGACCGGGCCGGTCCATGCGCCCGTCTTTGTGATGACTGTGGAGGTCAACGGGCAGCTCTTTGAGGGTTCTGGTCCTACCAAGAAGAAGGCCAAACTGAACGCAGCAGAGAAGGCCCTGCGATCTTTCGTCCAGTTCCCCAATGCATCTGAAGCCCACATGGCCATGGGCCGGACTCTCTCTGTTCACACGGACTTTACCTCGGACCAGGCTGACTTTCCAGACATGCTCTTTAATGCCTTTGAGACATCCACTCCTGTAGATGACCCGTTTTACCTCGCACCCAACAGTAATGGTTCCTTCAGCTCATTGGGAATAGAGTACCCATTGCTACCCTCCCCTGTTCCAAACCTGGTCCAGGCCCCCTTACCTCCAGCCCCCTCCACCTTCATCTCCCCTACAAGCGGCAAGAATCCAGTCATGATCCTCAACGAGTTGCGACCGGGCCTCAAGTATGACTTTGTGTCAGAGAGCGGGGAGAGCCATGCCAAGAACTTTGTCATGTCAGTGACAGTAGATGCTCAGAATTTCCAGGGTTCTGGGCGAAACAAGAAGCTGGCCAAGGCCCGGGCTGCCCAGGCTGCTCTGTTCGCTCTGTTTAACATGCAGCTGGATCAGGCTCCATCAAGACAGCCTATACCCAGAGAAGGGCTGCAGCTTCACCTGCCTCAGGTAAGCATGGAGGAAAGTTAATGACTATTGAGGCCCCAATATTTTGTTGCCTTCTTTACCATTTTCACCTTGCCTTGTTAGAAGATATGATCAAAGAAAAAAAAGTATACAGAGTTAATGAATGCACTGCAGGGGTTTTACTTGATGAATGGCACCAGAAACTTTGTTCCATTTATTTTCAATTGTTCTGTGCTGCTCTCAATTATTCTCTCTGCTATGCATCCCCTGGGTGCTATAAGTTAAAAATATACAATGCACAGCCCATTATGTAAGTGTCACGGAAGTAAGCAATTTCTAACAGTTGAGTAACTTTAAAGTACTGTTCCTGCGGCATAATATGAGTAGTAAATAGGGATTGTTTTCAACATTGCTTTTATAGGGCCTGATGCCTTAGCTTGCACATAAATCTCATGTGCTAACTCTGCAAATTGACCAGATGTTTGGTCATTAACCAGACAGGTGAATAACAAAGAAAAAGTCAGCATCACTACACAGTTACTAGAGATTATTACTACTACAAAAAACATGATGTCTGGAGTATTCACTTTACCAAACAATACGGTTCACAGAGGTAGAGATTAGACTTGAAAGCATGTTTCCATCCAATTGTTGCCTAATTACATGAGCTAGAAAGTTGACAAGAATGTAAATTATGGCCTTTCATTGCTGCGTCCTATTTAATATGGCATTGATGTTTTCTCATGATTTCCTCTCCATACACACATTGAGTCATGTAATGGTGTGCAGCAATAATACATAATGGTTGTATGCACTCTACAAAAAGTAAAAGAAGAATAAGTGGACACTACATCATCACTGTTTGTTCAAAAATTCACTTTTTATTAGCTTTTATTGTATCTATCCCGCCAATTTATCTCCAGTTTTGGGGGGTGGAGTCTGTGCCAGCATGCTTTTGGGAAGAGTCAGGGTTCTGCGTGCACAGGTCGCTCATACAGCTAGCAGTTGAAGACACATACAATCACGTTCACATCTATGAGCAGCAGAAAAGTTGACCTATATAACTGTCATAGAACAGGTAGTGCTGGTAAAATGATTTGTTGTTCGGTCTAGGGGATTTAATTATCACTAAGCATTACCACTAGCACATATGGCTATACTAGCTTGTAACAGGCCACAACATATACTGACTGCCTGCAACTGCCAACAACACTTACCTGAACTCAACTTACCTTCCACTGTTGCTGCACTGCACTTCTCTTCTCGCAGCATTGCTCACTTGACTGGATGGGTGGAGCCAAGCTCAGTGCCCTCTTCTAAGGTCACCAACCATGCACTGGGCTCTGCATCGGTTTCAGTTAGTTGAGGTTAGCAAACAGGTGCAAACATAAACTAAACCAAAATACTTCAGGGAAGAGGGTTATCATTCATTGTCCATCACCAAAGGTCCCCACAAGAGTTCTTTGCCATAAGCAGTCACCCTCATGCATTTCTGCCTCTACTCTCCACTCTACTACTGCTCTCTGCCTTTTTGCGTCTGGCTCATAATAGATAAGATGCACCCTCTTGATGTCAATCAAAATGACAAATTACAACCTTGACTATGACACTGAATAAAAAGTGTCCGTAGCATCAAGTGAAAGTAAAAGCAAAGCTGGCGTAGAATATCTTGAAATGGAAAAAATTCATTTGTTTGTATATCAGCAAATCACTGCGTATTACATTTTGACAGTGAATAAAAGATACTAGGTATTGCTGATGTTACTGACATTGGCCTGCACGTAGTACTGCTTTGGTAGGATTTATAACTCTTCTTCTGTGTGATCTTTCCTTGCTCTCTTTGCCCTTTTGGAGCCAGGCTAACATTAATGTAATAGTACTAAAGTTAATACTGATGCCTGTATATAACCTACATAAAGAAACAAATCATCAGTGAGAAGCTATTTCTATATAGTTATCCTTAATGCCAGCCACCAAATTGGATTTGGTCAGATTACCTTGACATCACCATTGCTTTTGTGCACAGGGGAAAGTTCCTTCTTGGTCCTAGGAATCAAAAAAGTATGTGTAACAAAGATGTTAGCTTTAGAAGCTTTTAGCCGCATTATACTGAAACATTTCACAATACTTAGTCCCAGTCTTACAAGAGACAAGGGACATATACCAATATATATAATAACAAAGCCACAGTCTGAGAGGGTCAGTGGCCTGTTTGATCGCGTGCTACAAACATTTACTTGTCAGATCTCTGTTGTCTAACGAAAGACGTCGTCTACAAATGTCACCGCGCACCGATTGAAGATGGAGACGGCTTCAGGAAAGACACAAGTTCAATACACTGGCAATCTATTTACACATAAACTAATCCCTGCCTGTAATCCCTGCACACCGATAACAAAGCTGCTATCTTAATTACCATCACCCTCTGAGTGCTATTCAAACACTGCTGTTCATTATACCAGCCTTTTCCAGTCACTCTGCTTTACTCACAGAGCAGTCAGTGAAGCAGAGGATTTGACTGTTTTAAGCTGCTAAGATCCCTGCCTGTCATTCACACCAGTGCAGCATTCCTAATTGAAATATTCAGTAATAGTTTCAGTGCAGATAAGAAGAGCTTTCACTTGCTTTTATCATGCTTTGGCATTGTTGTCTTCAGCTATTTGGTAATTCAAATTACATAATCTGGTTTCTTTAGTTCAAAGAGTTCTAACTTATTTTATGTCATTCTTCCATTCTGCCTCATCTATAATAATTCTTTGGTTGCCACCTCAGGTCCTGGCAGATGCCGTCTCCCGCCTGGTCGTTGACAAGTTCAGCGAACTGACGGACAACTTCACGTCTCCCCATGCTCGACGGAAAGTGTTGGCGGGTGTCGTCATGACAACAGGTTATTTTTTGTTTGTCAGTCAAATGGTTGCCGCTGAAAATCATTCAACCCTTCTCCCAAGAAGATTTTAGAAGCTCTTACTATGTCAGCGTTTGAGGCTGCAGCACCAGATATCAAGGGGATTCGATACTGGGACACTGCAGCTGAGCATTTACATAGAGTCAAGTGATTAAAGAGATGTTTACTATGCCTGTTCTGCACAAACCGTGTCTTAACTCTCAGCAGGGACCTAATACGGTTCTATTCTCTTATTCTTGTGCTGTGATTGTGATGTATATGTGTTTTTATGTAAAATATTACACCTCACCTGATTCTGACCACAACTTTTCTTTCACATATGTAAGGAAAGTATAAACACGTTCTGTCAGTCTCAGTGTTTAGAGTCAAAGACACAGTTTCTCTTACGAAAAAAAGACTGATGCTCAAAAACACAATATTTTTCCTTTTTCACCAAAAGGTTGTATTAAAGCTGCAATAGGTAATTTTTGTAAGAATAACTTTTTGTCATATTTGCTGAAACGTTCACTGTATCCTGACAGTAACGACATGTACTGTGGAGAAAAAAAAGAATGTTCCGTTCAAGCGCTCCTAATGGCATTTGCAAGAATCCACTGGGCCTGAACAAAAACAACCAATCAGAGCCAAGAAAGATAGTTGATTGTTGAGTCTCATTCCCAGGTGTTCAAATGCAGACACTTTGGGACCCTGGGGGGGAAAAAAAGGGAAAAGAACTCAACAATCAACTTCTTCAAACATCCAAAAGCGTCTTTATGTCTTTCTCGGATCTGGTTGTTTACGTTCAGGCCCAGTGGATTTTTGCAAATTCCATTAGGAGCACTAGGACGAGCCAGAGGAAGCAGATTTTTTCTTGTACTACTGTCAGGATATAGTGAAGGTTTCAGCAAAAAAGTAAAAAAATAAAATAAAAAAAACCTACTGCAGCTTTAACCTGACTGCGCCAGATCGTTTGTTACACAGGACCATCTGGGAATTCGTTTTTGGAAACTTTGAAAAAAATACTCTGTAGGTGATTGGGTGAACCATCTGTCTACCATCGTCTGTCATGGGAGAACTTCAACAGCTCAATGAACTGTATGATGTCACCAAATCAGTTACCCTCTTATGTTTTTATTCTTTCTTGCACAGGTACTGATGTGAAGGAGGCTGAGGTCATCTGTGTGTCCACAGGGACAAAGTGCATCAATGGTGAATACATGAGCGATAGAGGTTTGGCACTCAACGACTGCCATGCTGAGATTGTGGCTCGCCGGTCGCTCATCAGGTACCTGTACTCGCAGCTGGAGCATTTTCTCAGGTGAGTCGCAACACAGCAGAGAGCTTGTTAGGCTGTCTTTTCATAGCCCATTTTGGGCTATTTTGCTTCCAAACCATGTCTTCTTACAGGCTAGTGGAAAGAAAGCACCCAAAATACACAAATGGTTATTTGACTACACTTCATCTGTCTGCAGCTGTAGATTTTTTATTATTATTATTTTAAGTTAGCATTATATAATGCCCCATTTGCTTATTTAAATATATACAATTTCTGAAAATTTAAAAAAATAATTGCCTTAATATGAGTAATAAACTGCAGATGTTTCATAGTGATATCCAATTAAATTTAAATTTTTTTACCCTATTCACGTGTCATGAATTTTACAATACATATCTTTATGTGTCCTGAGATAACTTCTGTTATGAATTGGCGTTATACAGATAAAACTGAGTTGAATTAGTTACAGGTCGTTAAACATTTCCATGAAATGTGGATTGATTTTTTTTTTTTTTTGGATGAGAAAATATCTGAGAATTTAAGTGGTTTTTTTTTGTGTATCTTCCAACTTAATGTACAGAGTCAAGAGCTCAGAATTAAATCTGTTAGTAACATAAAGTCTTACCATGAATTTCTTCTGCATGTCAAACCTTGGCCAAAACTGTGTAAGTCATTCTAATACAGATGAAATGCCACCTGCCAGCCAATCAGAAACTTTCCGTATGGTATAACATTACTCAATTTCACATTTGTGTCTCCAGTAACCATGAAGAGGAGCAACACAAGTCCATCTTCACCAGGTGTGACAACAGACAAGGCTTCAGACTGAAGGAAAATGTCCAGTTCCACCTGTACATCAGCACTTCCCCCTGTGGAGACGCCCGCATCTTCTCTCCCCATGAAGCTGGAGTGGAGGGTGAGAGGAATATAACAAAGGCTGTGCATGATTAGATAGAAGTTATCCTGACTGTAAGATCCTCAAAGTTGTCTGTCCTTGCTCATCTTCCTGTCTCAGATCAGGGAGATAGACACCCGAACAGAAAAGCCCGTGGGCAGCTCCGCACTAAAATTGAGTCGGGTGAAGGAACCATCCCAGTACGCTCCAGTAACACCATTCAGACGTGGGACGGTGTTCTTCAGGGCGAGAGGCTGCTCACCATGTCCTGCAGTGACAAGATTGCTCGGTTTGTGTTGTTTCACTTCCTGTTCATTATTATAGTTTCTTATTTTACATTAGTTTTTACTTTTGTTTTGTTTTCGATTCAGTTTAGTTCTTAGTACAGAGCATTTCTCAGTATAGATATTTAAACTCACAGTCATCACAGTCTCATTAAACACCTCCTCCTGCTTGTTGTGTTGACAATTTTTATCAAATTGTCAAAAATTTAAACTAAAGAGATTTCCTGTATATTTTTTATTTTATTTTAGTCAAATGACTAATGGGCTCTGTTTCTGTTTTCTGTTATCAATGTTGTAACAAATGTCAGTGAGATTTCCAATGACTTACATCTATGCTTACGTTTTACCAAATTTAAGCCAAAACATGTGCAACTGTAGCAACACTGAGTTAACACACAAAAAAGCGTGCCTAAATTTGGCATTGGGTCCGTTGGTCCAACAGAAAAATAGTTATAGTATATTAGGTTGAATAAATAGGGTTTTATTTAAGAGGGATAGGGCAGCCACTCTTTAATACCAAATTTTGTATTTTTACATATGTACACCCTGTGCAACTTTATCTTTGGAAAGGAAAAAATACACAATATGAGTGTACATACAGTGTGAGTAAATGAATCAACATTTCCTATAATCTAACCATAGCATATACTGTAGTTTTTCCTTTCAAAATATTAAACATAGCCCTGCAGACCCACTTGAAGTGTTGAAGAGTGTTATTGAGCCGACCAGCAGGATTCCTGATGATTATGTGCATGTGTAAAGAGGGTGAATTATCTCGGTGTCATGCTGCAATCACTCCATTTCTGTCTGTCAGCTGCAGCTCTCGGGTGTCATTAGGCCACTGGAGCTTTGATTGGGATTCTTGATGAATCTCCAGGAGGCCGGGACTCCTCTGAGCTGGAATCAGATTTGTATTTCCAGGAGAATTAGTTGGAACAACAATGTGGATTTTTGCAGATTTGTGTGATTGCTCAGGCTCCCCTCAGGTTAAACCTCCCGTGTTTCCATGGTTTACAAAAAGAGGACCCTAATCCATACATTTGTTGATGAATTTGACGAGAGTATTTTTCAATTTAATAAAATGGTTTGTTCTGTGCCCCTTCAGGTGGAACGTGGTTGGATTCCAGGGCTCTCTGATGAGCTACTTCACTGAGCCCATCTACTTCTCCAGCATCATTCTGGGCAGCCTGTACCACGCCGACCACCTCTCCAGAGCCATGTACCAGAGGATTACTGAGATCGAGGACCTTCCGCAGTCCTTCAGCTTGAACAAACCGCTGCTCAGCGGTGAGAAACAGACTGCACTTTTACAAATGACTGATTTCCACCTGTCTCCTGTTTTTGTTGTTTTTTCTCACACTGACAGTACAGATGATGACATTTTCAAGTGGGCATCTGTAGGGCTTCCAGAAGTGTGAAAAGCATGGTTCTCACTGGACCTGGATTTTATGGTATATGAGGGAAGTTTGAGTTTACAGACAGAGATTGTTGTGAAAGTTCTGTGGAAAAGTCAGGAAATTCACAATATTTTCCTTTTTTTCTTAGTTCATTGCTTTTTGCTCTTTGCTCCAATAAAAGTTTCCCTTGGTCAGCTTTCTCCTTTCCTGTACTTCTGTTAGTCCCTTCAGGAAGTTGCAATGTTGAGATTGCAGCAATTAATACAAACTCAACCAATCCCTGTGAGTTCTGCATGACCTTGCAATTTTGTCCAGCTACTGCAACTTTTTGACCAATCATTGCCTGCTTTTTAACCTGGTAATTGGAAATTTTCTGAAAGCTAATCTCGTGAAGAGTTAAAAGTAAAAGTAAGTAAGTAAAATTTATTTATAAAGCACATTTAAACACAGCTATCACTGACCAAAGTGCTGTACAGAATAAGAAAAATGAAAAAGTCAGCATTCAATAATAATAAATAAAACAAATTTGGAGATAAATAAACAGAGAGTGAGAATAATGAATGACACATGTTAAACTCAAACATGGACAGAACTACAGTACACAACACACCAAGGACACAAGAAATAGAGGATTAGGGGACTAGGGAAGTCGTAATGGGAATAGATTTGTAGTTTTAATCATAGTGTAAATGGAAGTGGAGGGGGCTTGTCTAAATATCTGAGTGGTGAACTCGGTTCCACAGTCGGGGACGAGCCACAGCAAACAGGCCCGTGATCACCTTTTTTTAAGTCAGTGACCGTAGGCACATGTAGAAGTCCTTGCTAGAAGGACCTAAGGGACCTGGTGACTACAAGACTTCCCATGTCGTAACAAAGAGGGTACTAGTTCCATTTGGAGGCAGCAAAAGTTGAAAGGTTCTGACTGAGGCTTGCTCAACTGTTAATTGAACAACATGAATAAACCAAGAGAGTTTGAACTTGTTTTGCCATGTTTTCATGTTCTACAGGGATAAGTAATGCAGAGGCTCGTCAGCCAGGGAAAGCACCCAACTTCAGTGTGAACTGGACGGTGGGAGACCAAGGCCTAGAGGTGATCAACGCCACCACAGGGAAAGATGATCTGGGTCGACCCTCCAGGCTCTGCAAACACGCTCTCTACAGCCGCTGGATGCGTCTGCACTGCAAGGTAACACACTCAATAAATGTGAGTATAAATTATACGTTTTATACCAACATTTTTATTGGAAACAAAAACTGAGGGTTAGAAATGCAGATCCCACTGTTCTGGTTGTATAAAAAAGTTAACTTTTTTTTTTTTAACTTTGATTTTATGCATATGGTGGTGTGTTTTATATTATATTTTTAAAACATCACAATATATTGCCTTCCTTGTAACCCCTTATCATGATGCATATCGCATTGCCAGATTCTTGCAAATTCACCGCTCTAGTTCACATATTCTTCAAAATAAGAAATGGTCATACACCCCTGATTCCTTTAGCATAATACAGTATCATCAGGGTCCCTGCATGCTTAAAATTTATCAAAGACCCAGAACACTGATAAAGACAACTTGTCAGGCACAACTTGGTGTTTGAGTTGAATGATACTCCAGCTCTTATTTTGAATTTTAGGCACCTTCATAGCTAAGTACTACATACTTTTCTTTACATCTTTATGGGTATATATACTTAGTTTAATTCTCTTTTGTTGTTTGTGCTATTTTACCCTGTTAATACAAGATTTGCTGCTTCCCATCATGCCTCAGAGGTCATAAAAGTTTCAGTATGTTTATTTCGGTTTGTACATCAATTAATTTTATCAGAATCAATAAAAGTTAGTGCCCATGAATATAAAATGAAGAAAAGAATCAATTAAACTGTTTAATTAGATTGATGTCACTGTCTGGCCACCATAGAATTTGAATCAATGGCTAGCAAAAATGTAAGCTCCAGTGCAAAAACAATTAGGTAAGCATCTGCTTTTTTTGGCATTAATGATTGCTACGGCGAAGACAATTTCATTGTGTGTCGAACTTCTCCATGTCCCTGCAGCTTTCCTCCACCCTGCGGATCAGGGTAGTGAGGCCCAGCATCTACCACGACGCCAAGCAGGCAGCAGTGGAGTACCACAGCTCCAAGCAGACACTCTTCAGAGCCTTCCAAAAAGCCGGACTGGGCGCCTGGGTGAAGAAACCTATAGAGCAGGACCAGTTTGCACTCAACACCTGAGTTAGCACTGGGCTGCCGGTGGTGGGGGTCTTTGACAGAAAACACACAGACTGCTCGCGTTTCTTTCTGAACCAGTTTCAGTGGTGGAATAATTTTCCTTTGGATTGTTATGGACTGGACTGGTGTTACTGGGAAGAAAGAGGATGTCAGAACCCATGGATTTAACATTCCTCCTTAATTTTTATAGCCTCATGCTACTCCCCCTCAGCCAGCACTACACATAAATAAAAGATTATTCATTGGTTATGCAACTTTATACAAAGGACAAATGTAAAAAAAGACTTTGGGAATGGAAACTTGTAAACAGCATTGTTAGTTAAAATGGCACTTGTTTATATAAGAATAGTGATATATTCATTTTGCATGTATGATTATACCAAATTCATAGGAAGTCTACAGTAAAAGGTTTGTTATCATGTCAGTATTGTGATCTCAAATTATCAGTGTTGTGATAACTCGAGAATGTCCTCCCACAGATTGTAAAACTGTGTTTTATCTGCTCTGTTGCAGTTCGTTGACTGCAAATTTGAGGCGACAAGGATATTTTATTTTATTTTAAGCTGAGGATACGCCTCCTCCAATGTCTAAAATTACAGAAATTGTTCTCTATGGCATTAAAAGATTCACATTCACAGCTCCTTCCATTTCTTAGGTACTGGGAAGGTCAACACAATTTTAATTCCATGTGATTCTTAAGTATGGTGGACTTGCCTATGCTGTTCTTGTTCAAAATTTCTTCTACACTGTAACTGAGTATCCGTCCAGACTGTAAAATAACATAGATGGAGTGTCTGTGGCATCACACACAGGTTTCTGAAGAGGTATTTGAAAGGCTGTGCTGCTATCTTGCCAGAAAATATAAATGTGGTCCAAGGGGAGAAAACCTGGGTACAATTGACAACCACCAACTGTCTGTGATAGGCTGACACACCTGTCAATCGAAGAAATATGATCTAAAACATTGTTCTGTTTAACTAGAAGTACCATAGACTATGCCTTTTTTAATCTACGGTCTTGTCTATACTTTTATTCTCGTTAAACATCAAGTCGACATTTCACATTTAGTCAAGAACGTCCAAACGCCCAGAGATTTCTTGCTTTGTCCATTTTATCCATAACCTGACTTGTTACACAGAGCGGTCTGGGACAGCATTGGTGGAAACTGTTTGGAAAAGGGAAGGCACTTTCAAAAAGTACTTTGCAAGTGATTGGATGAACCATCTGTCACGTGCAAACTTCAACCAATAAGATCAACGAACCATTAATGTAATAATTAATTATTAATTTTAATTTGATTCTCAATGTGGAATGGAATATAATATTTATATGTATGTTTTCATAAGTGTCATTAGTCATTATTGTAGAATCACCTGAAAGTAAGAATCGTTGTGTTTTTGTTACCTTAGCGGTTTGATTGGTTGCAATCTTCTTGCCACTTGATGCCACTAAATCCTACACACTGGTCCTTTAAGCTCTCAGCCGTGGTAGTTGGTTCAGATTGATGCGTCATGTAGTTTGGTTTTCAAAGCAAAGGAATTGCTGTTTATCAGATGTCGCATCTGTCTTTTCATACCCTTTAACCCTCTGCAGTTTCCTCTAGGGTGACACCAAACCGATGCAGTTGCAGACAGCTGAATATGAATAGCCTCGTTCACATGTAACCAAACAAAGGAAACACTCCATTTTAACACGCCCTAAAACATCTGTCCTTATAAGAGCCCTGTTGCACTAGATCAGAGGTACAACCCTTATGCAATGATCTCTCCTACACTGATAGTCTGTATGCAGTAACCACAGTAAACCCTGCTAGTGTTGTTGCTGTCACTATTGCCGCCAGTAAAAGCTCACCAAAGATGATGTCAACATCTGTCAAACTGTTAAAATGTGTTCTTTTCTGTGTCGTTTTCCACGCTTTCAGATGTTTTTATTATTACTGCCTCGACAAACCTTGTATCTCAAACCATTCAAATGTACGTTTGTGAAGATGTGTGAAGTTTTGTGTGTAATGTTCTACTCTTTTAAAACCAAACAAGACAGAGTCACAAATCACCTGTTTCCTCTATAGCAAATGTAAATTTTAACTGTCAAAAATTTAATTTTCTAAATTCTTTATTTTGCTGTGAAACCCCTCTGGATGTAAAACACACAGAGGGCATATTAACTTATTTACTTTTAATGTATGGTTGAGTTATTTTCTTTATATATTTTCAATGTGTATCCTTCTGCTTCTATTTAATGTCTTAACTTTGAGCATGTTTCTGTCTCGGCATACCTGGCTCCAGGCGACGGGCCCTCAGGGTTTTTGGAGGTGCCAGCCAATTACGTTCCCAGAGGTATGCACTTTTTAAAAAGGGAAAACAAATTTTCCATTGACTTTGAGTTAAGCAAAAGTGAATGGATGAAGGGGAAAAAATGCTCTGCTGTATGTCCATCCTCCCTGTCCATATATTGGTGGTTGGTACAGTTCTGATGGGTTCATGCACTGCGTTATTGATATGCCCCATAAATATAGCAGGACTGTGGGGCCTAATGCATGAGCTCTACCTGTAAAGCATGATAAATATAAAATATGTAGAAACTGAGTCAAGTCACTGAGCTAGAGATTTAATAAAATGCTATTACAGTCATTTTGTGTGGTTGTCTTGGCTTTTAAATAAGAATTACAGCTAACTGTGCTTTGAAATGAACAGGAAAGGAATGCTCTTGGATCTTTACCGTATCGAATATTCACCCCCTGTAGGCTTGAAAAGTGGCTCTGAAAGACTTGACCCTTCAAGGAGGACGGCAGCTGTAGTCCTCTCAGATACCCAGCTGTTAAAATAGATTGAAACGGGGACCCAGAGTCACAGCCAGAAATGTGTCGAAACACATCAAAACGTCAGAGAAACCTCTCAAATAAATCCCACCCTTTGCTTTGAGCATTGGAGTTCATTATTGACCATGGAAGTGGTTGTTTGGTTAAAAAAACTAAACAATTCTTGACTCAAGGACCACTTACTAAGTTGTATCAGAAGCTTTTGACCACATCTCACAGTCAGAGTTAACATCTCAACAAGGTCAACTGAGGCATCTCCATGACAACTACTCAAACTCAATCCATTGATGAATACAATACACTGTATCTCACTATGAACTCCTTGAAGCTGCAACCAAAGTAACTTATTTACTGGCAAATCTGAAGATTTTACCATAAATCGATGAAAATGGTAAATGGACTGTACTTACATAGCGACGTGGAGAAGTGTAGCAAACATTCCCTGTCTACTGTGTTTGTACTAGGGTTTACACAGGATTCCAAGGAATACCCATCCAAACCATTTCTCGTTTGCCAAGACATAAAATAACAGGACTTTTTTTTTCTAAACATAGAACATATTGTAATATATTTACTTGTATATGAAGAATTGTCAAATATCACTTACTTGAGGCTGTTCTGTAAACACAGTAAAATTCATTTGCCCCTCCTTTTGAAATACAGTCCTTTTGAAAGCGCCTCACAAATTTTTTTTGACTGATGGTGATTCTACAGAAATTAACAGATTTTCGTCTGAAACTTAGATATAACTTCGACTCTTTACTACTGACCTAGTTACCATGAAATGTTCTGTGGATATACATGCTCTCCAGAGGAAGATTCCTAATGGTTTGACCCTCTGGCTTCCATTGACAGGAGCAATCTTTCTATATGTGCACAAGGAATTTCAAAATCTGATTGCACTACATTTACTAAGGACCCTGGAATAGCATGGGTGTGAATTTTGGACACGTTGTAAACTTTGCTTTAGCAAAAATACTAGTATAGTAGGGATTTGTGTTTTTACTTCATGGTCCCTGGACAAATAAAATTAATGAAACTGAAATTGAAAGGTCATTCAACGTGTGCACTCGGCTGAGAGGATTGACAGGGGTTGTCCATGATGGCTTTTAGCTTCCTCTCATCCTCTTCTCAGTCACAGCCTCCACACTGTCCAGCTCCATCCCCACCACCGAGCTGGGCCTTCCTCACCAGCTTTTCTAAGCTTATTGGCACCCCCAGTGCCGATGCCTCCCCCCCCAACAGGACCACTG